ATTGTGTAGCCGTACCGCCACATTTCCTGAAACGGCACGGCAGTTAGAACTGATTTTGGAAAAACTGGTACAACAATAAGTAATTGAACATTTTTAGGTAAGGCACCACCAGAGAAGAAACACATTTTTATACTCAAACTATTTCCAAGTCATAGACAAGGAATTTAGATAATATAAACAAATGTTCACCAAAAGTAATAAGTATAATGGAAAGTAGACATAGGCTTACACTTGAGTCAATTTACATTACTGTGGTCTGATTAGTGTCCTCTGCAGGTTTTTTACTATTGTTCTAAGTAACAGTGGGATTTAAAATATTGGAGAAAGTATGGAGATGTTCTTTCGTAGTGTGTGGAATATGTGATGGTTGAAACATGTAAGTATTTCAATTTATAGGAGAAAATGGTTTCTTGAAAGAGTTATGTTGGGTAAATATGTAACAATGGTTGAAATAATTTTTAGAAGGAGATTTTGTAATAACATTAGTAGACATTAATTGTGTTGTTTAGATGGCATTTAACAACTAAGACAGATAGTATGATTAGAAAAAGTGGAAAGGGTTGGATTTATTTAACCTCAGTGTGCTAGACTTCCTATAGGTAATGCGTCCCGAGACCTGGACTCCCCCTCTGAGTCAGAAAGGCTACGACCCCGACCCTCCAAGCTGACAAAAGACCTAACCCAACAGGAGACTCCTCCTTCTCCATCGAACAGACAGAGAACCAGAGCTGAACCAACAACAACAACAAGACTGCAGCCAGAACTATCTCCACCTGTGGCATCCAGAACCAAACGGCATGCTGACATACAGACATGTCAGACAGGACATGAAGTTCCAAGCTGAGCCACGAGATTTGGCACAAGAGCAAAGTGTGGGACATGAGAGCAGAATCCGCCCTCCATAAAAACAGTAGAGAGACTGTAAAGGAGGAGATGAAATGCAAAGCAGTACAAGAACAGTGGCATGATGTGGGCTGCAGATGTAACCGGGCCAAAGGCTGCCTAAAAGAGTTACAGCCGATGGATTCAAGAGCTGATGGACTGAAGACAGAATCAGAGGAGTTGGCATGGTCGATTGGAAGTGAGGAGGCCGGGGTCACGGCTTGAGAAAACCAGGGGAGGAGAACAGGAAAACGGGAATGAGTGAGTTTACAAATAAACACACTTATTCACAAAACGCACATAAAAGTGACCACATTTAAAGAACTTGAATTGACTTAATAAATACGTAAAGACAAAAAGATGTATTAACCATGAATTAATCAATTGGTAAATTAAAATAGCAGTAAAAAGGAAACTATTAAAGTAAAATGAGAATCATCCTAAAACACACTGAGAGATAAAGGGCGAGACATGATGGAAACATTCACTACACTTTAAGCAGTGGGTGTTTTGGAGTACAGAGTAGAACTATATTCTTCAATCTTTCCATCATGTTAACAAATTGTTCGTTAAGAGATTCTTATTCATGTGTGAATAAAGTGGTGATTTCATTTGTTACAATATTGATCTACAGATTAAAGGGATAGTTTTAGGAACCACTGTATAAGTTCAGACAAATCTTTATTTGTATGGATAATTTTAAAGGGAGAGCTAGGACCAAGCCAAATATAGTATTCCAATCTAAAGTATTGATTTCACCATTGTGGCATAGTTATCACCATAGGAGGGCTTTAAGATGGAAATATGAAATGACTTCTGTTTTAAATCCTTGATGAAGGAGGGAGTAATTGCTGCATGTTCGAACACCCAAGGTTCCACACACTGCTAAGGAGGTTAACGTTGTTTTTTAAGTAGACCAGAAAAGGGGTTTAAATTAGTATAAGGAGTTATGAAATACATAGCAGAGCTACACAGATCCTAATAATGTTTTGACTCAAGATAATAGCCACATGTACACAAGTTTCTGAAATAGATCTTTTAGACATTTTAATACTAATTAGGTGTAAATAAACTGCAGTAGTAGTACTATAAGGAAGTGAATTTTGTAACAAATTTCAAGAAAGGTGGGAGGCAGAAGTCCCAATGAAAAGTTAGAACCATCTTGAAAATCATAGTTGAAATCGTGAATGAATAAGGAATGGCGCTCCGCATATGACATATTTTTGTAGATAAAGGGTACCCGCCTATGCTGAATTACCTCTGAAAAGACTCTGCAGAGCACGACATGGCCAAAAGACCGAGACCAAATGACCTTTGACCCTGACTGACAGTGTGACAAAAGCACTGTCAATGACTGACTCTGGGGTGTACCTGACCGAACCTGACTTGACAACCAGACTGTATGAGTGTGAATGAATGCCGGCATGTGATCAGTGTAACTGCATGATTCTAAAACAATAACTAACCAAGCATGTTTTTGGACTAACATATTATTTTGGAGCTCCAAGGGAAACCGCACATGGGACCCGTTTCTTATCTACTTGATGATATTTTACTCCCACAGGAGTTGGCAGTTTGCAAATGTGAAACTCAAACTAAAATCTGAAGATTCTGTTTCTTTTAGGACTGAAAGATGAAGAGAAACATTTATTTTCACTGAGGTGTTTACTGTGGAAAGATAATAATAATAATAATAATAATGGATGTAAAATTGCTATGTCCCTAACCAAAATGTAACTGAAAGTTTTCTCTCCTCCCCTCCCCATTTCAGGATTTTATTACACATGAGTTCATGTGTAAAAAGGGGGGAGAGTGGATAATGTATAATGTATAATGTCAACATGGCTGTCAAATTCACAATTTAAATTTTTCTTTTAGGGATTGAAAGAAACCTTCCGCCCCAACCTAGATGTTCAAACTGAGCATTGAATGATAGTTTTAGAATTAACCTGCTCCATATCTGGGGATAAGATACTGTTTGATGAATGTTGACATGTTTCTAAATATTGATTGCATTTTGAACAGGTAACACAGATGCAGATGCAGAAGCAGTGGCCAAGGGGCTACTGTGAGAGATGTAATTCCAGAATGGAATACCAAAGAAGTTGACCTGTGATAATGAAACAATTTTGTAATATTTTAACAGACATTAGAGTAACTGAGGTTTGAAACATAGAAAGAACATATTACAGTTAAGCTAAAACATAGTAATGTAATGACACAGAATTTAATTTAGACAACATCTTGTAACTAGCCTGGTAAAGAAATAGAAGTAAAAGCCATGGACTTTATTGTTTAGGTCATTATGGGGATATACATTTAATTTATAATAGAAAGACATTTGATGACAGTATGTTGGAATTCTGTATTCATTTTTCAGCTTGATAATAGACGGGTAGAAGCAGTATTGCCAGGTGCAACTGATGGGATTTCTGCACACGAGCCAAGCAGAGAATGACGTACCTTTTATAGGACAGATACACTCAGGAAACCACACTCTGACAGCATCATGACTTCAGTTGTTTTTAAATCCATAATGAAATTGTATTACATAACGTTAGTGTGTGTCTTTACCACAAACAGGAATAGTTCATTGTTATATTTAGATTTGAAAAAGATTACAAGGATTTTATTTAGGAACAACACAGATGCTCATCAGACATTTGAAAAATATTGAAATATGTTATTTAGTTCACCATGAAGATGTTTTATTTTGTTTGTAACATATGCCGAGTATTAAGATTCAGATATCAGCAGGTTCTGAATTATTATTCCTCTGTCCCACAACCAACAAGAATGTGGATGGGGAGAACTATATCTGATATAACCAGCAGAGATTCCTAAATCACACCAGAGACACAGTAAAAGGATGACACAAACAGTCAGATAAAAACAGACCGATAGAATAGCGCTAGACATTAGTTGAAAAAGGGAGTGGATGCAACACTGAAGAGGATAGGATTGTTTAAATAAAGAGTAATATTTTCAGATAGTTTTATCCTTCTTATATTTTGTGAAAGAACAAGTGCCTTTACACCAGATACAGTATGAAGATGATATATATGATGTGAAAGGAGGGAGTTCGACGTTTTCCATACCAAGCTAATTGCTGCTATTTGATATTAAAGGTTTAAGCTAGAAGTTATGCACAAATGAAAAACTTCGCATTTATGATGAATATGTATTGTTACTATTTGTATTTTCTACCCTTTATGAGTTATGTACTATGCAAAGTTCAGATGAAGAACTCATTGATTTCAGTATTATGTTCATACCTTAAAGGGTATGAAAGGAGGGATTGTTAGAAATTAAAATCAATGTTGATGTGGCGTAATTTGAATGAAATACACTGTATTTCATTTAAATCTGTTTTATTCTGAAAACCGAAGATTCACAAGTGACTTCCGGTTTTCCGCTGGTGAATTTCGTCATTTCCGGTTAGCATTAGCTTGTGGCGAAATGCTACGTTTTCAAACCGTGAATTGAAGGTGAAATAACATGATGTTGTACACTAAACACCCTGGGTTTAACACTCATTTATTGATGCTGGAATGAGGTTTATTAGGGAATGTTTAGATGACCACAGACATCAGAGTGATGTAATTCAGCAGCAGAAACCGACAGGATTTGCATTGGACACGCCCCCGTCGACGCCGGCCAATAGGAGAAGACTACAGATGTTACCCGGGAGACCCAAGAAGGATCTCTCTCTCTCTTTGCCCCCAGCTGACCCGGCGCGGACGGGACCAAACAGCTGGCAGGGGGAAACCACCAACGTGCACATTTCATTTGTATACCACCGCATCTTTTGTGTAATTAAATGCTGTTAACTTTTATAAGCTTGCCTTGACTCTTTTCAGTCTCTCCTGCTCTCGGGGTTCAAGAACCACTAACAGGACCTGATATGTGTGTGTTGTGGGGACCTGCTGTTTGTTGTGGGGACCTGATATGTGTGTGTTGTGGGGACCTGATGTGTGTTGTGGGGACCTGATGTGTGTGTGTTGTGGGGACCTGATGTGTGTTGTGGGGACCTGATATGTGTTGTGGGGGCCTGATATGTGTTGTGGGGACCTGATATATGTATTTTGTGGGGACATGCTGTGTGTGAAAGTACTGACCTTTGGGGGTCAGAGTTTGAGTCTCCAGGTGGAAAACACCCCTCAGAAGAGCCACTTCCTGCAGAATGATCCCGAAACTGTACACGTCTCCTTTCTGCGTCCCCCAGGGGGGGGGGCAGTCCATCCTCAGCAGCTCGGGGGCCGTCCACAGCTTACCTGAGGGGGGGGCATAGGTAAAGACCCTGCTAGTATCAGGAGCTAGCATCCCGAGCATCCCGAGCTAGCATCAGAAACTATTATCAGTTGCTAGTATCAGGAGCTATCATCCGGAGCTAACATCAAAAGCTAGCATTAGAAGCTAACATCATGAACTAGCATCAGTTGCATTGTGTCTTGATATTTGTCTGTTGATGTTCCACATGGAGCTGCTGTGATGAAAGTCAAATTCAGACTTCATCTGACCATTAAAGTATTATCGTATCGTATCGTAGCATCAGGAGGTAGCATCAGTTGTGTGATATTACGTGCGTAGTGAGTATATATATTACATTACATTTTAATTTAGCTGACGCTTTTATCCAAAACAACTTACAATTACCAATTACAGGGACATTCTCCCTGGAGTAACTAAGGACTAAGTGCCTTACTCAAGGGCACACTAGTGGTGGTGTTCCTGGCGGGACATATATAAATGCAGTTAGATGTTTAAGCTAACTGAAAGATATATAAAGTGATATTACGTGCGTAGTGAGCGTATATATATAAATGCAGTTAGATGTTTAAGCTAACTGAAAGATATATAAAGTGATATTACGTGCGTAGTGAGTATATATATAAATATAGTTAGATGTTTAAGCTAACTGAAAGATATATAAAGTGATATTACGTGCGTAGTGAGCATGCGAGTCCTCGGGAACGACCCCCCCTCGCAGACTCTGGACTCCGTAGTCTGTGATTTTCAGAACGAATCGGCTGTCAACAACGCAGTTAGAAGACTTCAGGTTCCCGTGAGACGAGATGACGCTGCTGTGCAGGAACAGCATGCCCTGACAACAACAACAACAACAATATCAATGACAACAAACAGGAAATAATGCAAACAACAACAAACAACTACAAGAAACCAATAAACAACAAACATCATCAACAAACAACAACAAATATTAACAACATTAACAATAACAATAAACTACAATCAAAACAATATCAACAACAATAAACAATTAACAACAATACACATCAACACAAAATAAACATCAAACAATAAACAAGAACAGCAATAAACAACTGCTATTAACACCAATATACAACAACAACAAACAATAAAGAACAACACTAAACAACTATAGATAATATTGCCTACAACAAACAAAAATGACAATAAATAACCATTCAAAAGAACAACAAACAACAGCTACTAACACAAATAAACAGCAACAACAAACAACAAACATCTGACCCTCTGAAGTAAATATGTTACTACTGCATCTCACAGGAAGTGACCCCCCCCGTTACCTTGACGATGTCTGTGATGAGAGAGTATCTGAACATCCAGTCCAGAGTGATGCTGTCACTCTCCATCAGGTCCTATACACACACACACACACACACACACACACACACACACACACACACACACACACACACACGCACACACACACACACACACACACACAATCTGTCATGATGCAGCTGCCTGTCACTATCAAATTACAGCTCACTATGTGTGTGTGTGTGTGTGTGTGTGTGTGTGTGTGTGTGTGTGTGTGTGTGTGTGTGTGTGTGTGTGTGTGTGTGTGTGTATATGTGTGTGTCATCTGAAGGTTAATGACTGTCTCCTGGCTGTCAGGCCTCTGTGTAGCATCTGATTTTATCTTCAAGATGGATTTATGTGTTTGTGCATGACACTGTCGAGGCCTGTTTATATAACAAAGCTCCACATGTGGATTGATAATGGCAGCGTTCATAATCCTGGACAGAAAGATAAAGCTGTTGGTAAATCCTGTAACACCTTCTGTCTTCTTTGAGACGGTTGAAGAAGTGAATGCAGGCTTTAGTGACTGTGTGTCTGTCTTGTCTTAGAGTCATTACACCATATATAGGTGTATATCTCACACATAAAGCCTGTGCTGTCTGGTTTTATATTCTAATGTTTATAATGTGGTTTAGCTCTCGCTGGTCTGACACCCCCGCCTACAGGCTGACACATGCTCCCGTTGCTAGGTTACATAACGAGCGTAGGGGGGTGGTTGCTAGGTTACCATGCTGGCAAGGTTGCTAGGTTACAATTGCAATAAATAACTTTAACTGAGAGAAAATCTGATTTATGAAGAAACAGAAAAACATGGAGCTGATACTGAGGGGTATAAGAGGGTATATAGAGGGTATAGGGTGTATAGAGGGTATAAGAGGGTATAAGAAGGTATATAGAGGGTGTATAGAAGGTATAAGAGGGTATATAGAGGGTATAGGGTGTATAGAGGGTATATAGAGGGTATAAGAGGGTATATAGAGGGTATAAGAGGGTATATAGAGAGTGTATAGAGGGAATATAGAGGGTATATAGAGGGTATATAGAGGGTATAAGAGG